GACTGTTCCCAACTCCACATCAAAAAATTTATTCACCAGTCTAAGTTACCGTGACTGGGCATGCCTTTTGGGCACTGCCTAAGGGAGGGTTGATGGAGGGCTCCACCACCTAGCATCCCTCGCTAACATTGTCTTCACCACGGTCCTGCACAACAAAATAGAGCTGAAACCTAGGAGCGAAGTGGACTTGGACTGAGAGTGGCTTCTTTCTGTGATATTTTTTCTTTATTTGTGGTGTTACCGTTTGTGTTTGCAGATTATTTCTTGTACTGACTACTGCAACTTTTTCTTCTATACAAGATTTTCATATCAATTTACCCTAACTTGTGCTTCAGAGATTAACCCAGTATTTTTTGGATGTACTAGGCTAGGGCAATTTGAAGATAATAATGTCATAGAGGACAAAAGTTGTAATGGTACAAATAATAATCAGAAATACAAACAGCAATGCCAAAATAAAGGAAAATATGGAAAGCACTGCTAACAGCACACTTGGTCCTACTATAAGACGAGGTGAAGACAATGTTGACTGGGGGATGTTAAGGGGCAGAGCCCCTCATTAACCCACCCCTCGGGCATCAGTAATATAGGAATAAGATAGTAATTTCCCTCGGGCATCAGTAATATAGGAATAAGATAGTTATTTCCCTCGGGCATCAGTAATATAGGAATAAGATAGTAATTTCTCGGCCAGCACTCTGTACCTGGGAAATGTGTTACAAATACTGAGTGTATGTACTCGTGCTATATTCCATTCATGGCTAGCTATGAATCGGGGAAAATAGCCACCAGGTTTTTTTAAAGCTGAAACCGATCAAGAAACTTGGATGTAATGTAAGACTTGCATGCTGAATTGAGATGTGTTTGATTAAACTGTACTTACCCTAAACACTTCGTAATTGGGAAGTAGTATGATGAAGTGAAGGAAATAGTTCTTAGAAAAGTGGTAGTCACTCTTAGGTGAAGATAACTGAATATTAGTAAGGTTTAGAGCCTGCATTTCTGAAATTGAAATTGTTAAAAATGCCAGATGTTCATGGATAATTTTACAGAATAGGACTACAGTTTGTGATTTGCAAAGACCAATAACTTTAAACATGTATTAGCAGGAAAAACAACTCTTGATTATTTAATAATTGGTTGTTAGGTGGTGTGCAAACATTATTTTCCTGGGATGTTTGTGGTATGATGAATTAATCTTTATCATAGTACAAAATGCAGATATTGTGACACTGCTGGATATGTATGTCAGGAGATTTCAAAGAATGTTAGGGGTTTTACTTTGAAGTGTTCTGTAACCATTCCATTAGTTTCTCTTTGTTGCCAATGCCTTTATTCTAGGGATGTTGTAAAACTTTGATCATAATTGCAGAAGCTGAACTATGGTTATGTTTGAAGGGACAGAATACTTTTGGGGAATATAGTGGAAATATTTTCCCGTACCATTGTGATTTATCAGTTTCATTGTTGATTCTTATCTCATTGGTGCCAGGTAATTGCACTGTCCATTGTAGTTTTTAGTAAATTCTCTTTACTCACAGAAGAGTCAATAAGTGCTTAGATATAACAGTCAGTTATTACCAGACCTCACAT